AAATACATCACCCCGACTCTACTTCGTAGTCCAATAAGCTGATGATTTTGACTCAGTAACTTTAAATATAATGGAGATCAGATAAGCATTCTTTCCTATTTCTTTATTTCTACTGGAACTAGTTATCAAAATGAAATTACATAAATTATTTTATTATAAATAATAAGAGCTATTATGATGATCACTTGACAGGCATCTAATTTTATATAATTTATAACTGCAAAATTTAGAGGGCTGGATCTGTTATCGCAAGTAATTAACTCATTTTCAAATACAGTTTTTCTCAGACAATTTTTTTCTGTTTTATTAGTTGTGTCTTCATCTTCAAATTTAAAACTATACTTAAATAAAATATCTGTCAATATATTAACAACTTACCTTTAAAGATTGTGTAAAGCTCTCTATGAGAATCTAGATGTCTTGTTAAAATATACACTTGTTTAAGATTTACTTTTTTTTTTTTGGTCTCAGGATGTCACTCTGATTTTACAATAGCCTTTGTTTGCTTGTAAACACCAAGTGCTCTTAAATAGGAATTAGTGGTACAGTCCCTGAGGGAAACCTCTCTCATGCATGCACTTAATTTCTAGCAGACTGCTTCTGGTTGGCAGTCTGGCTTATTTTCCAAAACAATTTTCTCTGAATAGATCTGACCTCTTTTCCAATCCCCTCTTGGTAGAAAGTGCAATGAAACTTGCCTTCCAGATATGGAGGAGAAACACCGCTTACTCTGTAGTACTACTTTCATGGAAAAAGTTAATCTTTCTAGCTATTGCTTTTCAAAGCCTTGATAACTTGTGTGAATTGGCCTTCCTTTTTCTTATTAATATAATTCATCAAGGTGTATCTTTAAGAAATTATATCATATTTTTTGTCACCTAAACATGCAACACTTGGATTGTTCACTATACTGGGAAGAAATCTCTGTGTTCCTAGGTAAACTTTTATGTGAAAATAAAACATTCCTGCTGATAAAAATAAATGGTTTTAATAACATTAAGATGCACGTTCAGAGATCGTGGAAGATATCTAGCTGATTCAAAGTGCCATGCCACTGCAAAATAAACATTTTCAACAAGATTGTTTAAGGCAGGAAAAACAAATTAATGATTTCCTTTCATTAACTTTTTCCTATTTCAGCTTCCTTCTGGTGTGTATGAACATAAAACTCTTAGGCATTAAATAATAAGCCCATTTATATTTGTAATTAAAATGGTTTCTTCCTCTTTTGGGTACTATGAGTGCACAATGTACCAAATGCCTTTCGTATATTATGTGGGTTCTCGACACTCCTTCTCATGGCTGGTTTGATTACCATGTGAGGCTTCCTTCATACATATCTTAAAATGAGAATTGCCCTCATGATTGCCTCAAACTTGTCAGATACATACAGGTTGGCAAAAAATGAATGCCCGTCTCTTACATGTTACCCTCATTTTACT